AAGAATTGAGGAGAAGAGGAACAAGAATTGAGGAGAAGAGGAACAAGAATTGAGGAGAAGATATTCGGGTCGTAGGAAGACTTTAAGAGTGGAGAAAAAGAGGCGGCAGTAAAGCAGAACCAGGTGATGCCAACAGAAAGAAGGGGAGACGTGAGAGATAGGAAATTAGAACATAAGAAAAGAGGTATGTAAACGAATGAGAAGGGGGAGAGAGAGAGAACGTTTATGAGTTAGGAGAAGATATTCCAGAAAATCAGAATTGATTACGAATAGTGACGTTGATTGAAGATTTTTTTCAAGTGAAGCTGGGATTGTAGAGAAGTGAAGAGATGTGGAGTGAATAGAAGAAACCGACTTTTCTGATGTATGTGTGGAAAGGACGGGAGGAGATAGAAAGAAGAAGGAATGTAGATAAGAGATAATTATATTTGAGATAAACATTTTAATATCAGAATGGACGAGGAGAAAAATAAATGAGGGTGGACTGGGGAGATTTAAACTATAACACTAATGGGGAGAGAGAAAAAAAGATTATGATAAGTTAATCATTAGAAGAATTGGGTACGAAGGCGAGTAAATTAACCAGGGAAAATTAACGGGTCGAAAATTGATTACGGAGTGACCAGAGATTGAAGCATTTGTAGTGGAGGAGAAGGGGATGATTAATGCAATAGTCAGAAATAAGAGGTAGAAGCTTTAGGTATTTTAGAATAAACAAACTTAAAAGAATTAATTTGGATAAAGATTGACATATCCTTTAAGGAAAGACATCCTAGAAGGAAAAAGTTGATTGATTAGGGAAAGAGTAATAAAAAATTAACAGTATTTTTCAGATAGGCTATTAGGATGAATAGGGGTATGCAGGAGTGGGATTACCTTACAGCAGATTAAAAGGTAGAGAGAGGATAGGGGTGGAAGAGTAACAGCAGGAAAAGGAAAGAACGCAAGTAACCAGTGTAATAAATACATTGGTAATAAATAGTGTAAAAAAAAAGAAAGTTGAAAGGATACACCATACGAGTAAAGAACGAAGATCTTTTTGGAATACCAATAATTTTGGGATAAAAAACAGAAGTGAGATGATGTCCAGCGAGTGGAAACCTGGTACGAATATAGATTTAAGAATTGAGGAAAGAAATCGGACAAAAGGTTTAGTTCTAAAATGCTTTAAACTGCAATAAATGCAACTAAGAAAGTGGGAATAAATAGGGCTAAAGGAGGAATTATGACACGAACGAGGAAGGGATTGGAGAGGAGAACGATATGCGACGAACTGTGGAGGAAAGGTCAAGGTTCAAAAGGAAAAAAGACCTCGTGTAGAAGGGGGATGTGAAGCTCATGTGCACGTTTTAGAAACGGTGTGATATTAAGGAGAAATTGGGTACTCAAAAAAATTTGGATCTAGTGATTGCAATTTTAGTGCAAACCTTTCATGTTAGGGTAGGGTATAAACGAGGTTGGGGACGAGGAGGTAAGGAAGAAGCAGTGAATCTAGGAGAACGATGAAGGAGATAAAAAATACTATCTTAACACTAAATTAGTGTAGCATTTTACCTGTGATTGAACTAACAATTCAATAGCATTCTTTCATTACCCTATTACACTCGGGGCAGGTGGTTTGGAGTCGCAAGATGTCGAATTACAAAATCCAGGAGGTTCAAATGTTTTGAACACTATCAGTACGACTCTCTCACGATTTGTCTTCTTGTTCGTGACTGGTCGAAGTTATAGTTAGATTTTCGCAGGACTATCACCAAATGAGTGGATGATTCTGGCGTGCGAGAACTGGTTTGCTGCGAAGGTCAATTTTACAGCCATGTTTCTCCACGATCAACAAAATAAGGTGGAACACTAATGGATCATCACCATTATGTATCTCAAATTGGGCTGATGTAACGCCGTCCCCACAGAAAAAGTGTAGTTGTCCCACAGAAAAGTGAAGATTCTGAAAAATTAATAAACCTTGACAATTCTGTTACAACGCTTAATATATCCCAGCCGCAGAATTTAAAGTCATTTTAATTATAATTATAATTGCGTACAGAATTTCGCATAATACTTTGCATGATATGAATTTTCAAAAATAATTACAATTTAGTGTATATTGCCAATTCTCTGAAGTAGCACATTACAAGAAAAGATTTTCATTAATAGAAAAAAGAGGAAACTTTGTGAACTACTGAATATTTTTTACGATGTTCACTTTTGAACATCGTAGTGCTGTTGTGAATTTTATTTCAGAAGAAAATTCTCTCAATGATGGGTACATCAGCTATTATATATATTATATATTGCTGTACTTACTGTCCCACATGAAATAGAAATGTTGGCAACAACCAGAGTCGAAACGCCATTCTATACATTCACATCCTCTTCTACTTAATATTTGAAGAAAATTGTGTAAAAACGCAATTTTAAGGTTTTTTTATCTTCAAAATATTTATGTTCTGGTTTAAGTTTTCAAATGATTTATATTGAGCTTTCTTAATTTTCAAAATGTTATTTGTTATGTTTCCGAGAAGGTACTATGCACTTCTGATATATCAACAGATAGAAACTGAACTTTTAAGAACCTTTCATGAGATTTTAATTTTTATCCATTCCGATGAAGCCAACTATTGTATATCCTGAAATAAAAAATGTATTTAAAGATCGTTTGCTTTAAAATGAAATATACTATTCATCGCACAAAAACAGAACGCAAGGGTATTAAAACAAAATGCTTGTAAATGTCAAACTTTTTCAACAATTTTAAAGGAACAATAGCGAATAGAAGTGTGTACTACACCAAGAATTATAATTTGATAATTTAATTTACCGAACAATTCAATAAGCTGTTAAAATAAAAATATATATTCCTTGGGATATGAGGTACACAGCAAATTTCTACTTTTTGAAAAAACAGTTAAAATTTTAAATTTAAAAAATATTTGAATTTCTTGTATATGTATTAACTTCAGAAACGGCTAAATATTCGTCGAATGAATAATGATCAGGAAGTTACACTCTGAGACGAATAGTACGATCTCTTAATGAATTGTTTACAAATTATAATAGTTTTCATTCATGGACTGAGATCCTTACTGCATATCCTGCAGATTTTATAACTCTCGGGAACTTTCAACAAAATATTTCTTGCAGCAAATTGACGTCACCTCCCCCGCTACAGAGGTCGAAAAGAGATGTCCTTGTTTTTTACTGGAAGCTCCAAACTCCACGCGAGGGTGTAAGTGTGTACTTCAATTTAAAATCAGTTTTTCAATATGGGAGACTATGAAGGGGGTATGAAGGTACGGAACATTTAATCTGGTGTTGCGTAGTTTTGCATCAGATAAATTCTAACAAAAGAAAAATTCTCGTGGCAATAAGCAGGTCAATGCATAATCAAAATTTATATCCTTCATTTGAAACCCAAAAACTTATATAAAATTCAAGCAAAAATCATTTTAAAAATAATTTTTAAAACTTTACGGGTTTAATATAACCGCAAATCCTTAAGCAACATTAGATAGCTTTAATCCCATATACCAGATATCTGCATGCAACTTCCCATAGGTTAATTCCTTTCTTATGTTCACCAACTCGCCATTCCTACTCATTTGTGTCATGAATTATGCTATCTATTCCGAAGGTTGAGCGTATAGTCAATGTTCGTTTACCTCAAATCTATACTGTACCTTCGGATCTTTTCCTTCGCATCAGGTTAAGTCTCAATCTGGTAACTTCCAGATCACCTCATTTATTCTTGCTTATGTTTCCTCTGTATCTCTGGAAGATTTAAAGAGTAGTGCCCTCCAAGATTTCTTTCCATTTCACTAAAAGACAGTCTTCGTTGTGATTCATCTAGATCACTTCCGTTAACTATGGTGAAATATAATACAAATCGGTAATAAAAAATAATCTTTCACACTTAAAACTTCTTCCAAGAAGCACTATAACAAATTTGCTTTTGAATAGCATGTACAGCCTAAGAAAAACACTGAAAATTTATTCGTGTAATTTTCTACTTAGCTTACCATGTACACCATAGTGTCACATCACACATTCTGCAAACAAATTTTATGAATAATATTTTGTACTACATGAGTAAACAAGTCAAGATTCTCTCAGAACTGTAATTATAAAAATAAATTACACATTTTAAGGCAATTTTATTGTTTGTTTTCACAAACCTTTGTAACTTGCTAACCTTGATAAAAGTCTATGCTTTTCATTTTCAAACCTTAAAATAAATGTTACGTCTTAAACCTTAAAATAAATAAACGTCTCGTATATAGAGTAATTTTATTACGCCAATTCATTTAAAAAAACAGCTTGCAAATCCTGAAAATTAAAGTTAGATTGAGTAATCGTTAATCACAATTCATGTAGCATGACACCTTACCAATCATAAAAATGTATATTCAGTAATTTTTTACCACAGTTCTTCGAACAAGATTATACGTTACAAATCCTAAAAATAAATGTTATTTTGAGTAATATTTTATTTCGACAATTCATCTACGAGGAGCGCTTATCAATCCTGAAAATAAATGTGATATTGTGTAATCTTTCACTTCGACAATTGATGTAACGAGACGACAGCTTAACAATCCTGCAAGTAAATGTTACTCAATGTAATAGTTTACAAAGACAATTAGTCAACGCACTACTTTTACTGACAATTATCTAATAATACACAGCTTATCATTGAAGTAAATGATCTATGAGTAATATTACGACAATTCATCGAACGCAGTGAAAGTTTATCAATCCTGCAAAGATAGAGTAATATTTTGCTTCAATTCCTCTAGCAAGACCTCTTACCAATCCTGAAAATATATTGAAAAATCTTACTAAGATTCATTTAAGCTTCACGACAGCTTCACACTCCTGCAAATAAACGCTATATTTGGGAATCTTTTATCGTAATTCATCCAAAATGATGACTTCTTACAAAATTCTGTAAATCCAAAACAATGTATATTGAGTAATGTTTTTACTACAATTTCTCTAACATGCTGGAAGGTTACTTATACCGGAAATAATTTTGAGTAATATTTTACTTGGAAAATTCATCTAACAAGACTGGCAACTAGCCATGAATACCCATTAATTCAATAAATCTTACTACTTTCATTCGTCTACGAAAATACCCTATCAATGCTGAAAGTGAACCTCATATTGAGTAATATTTCGCTACAAAAGTTCATCAAACACGATGATTCATATTACAAATTCTGAAAATGAATTAGACAATGAGTTATCTTCTACTACGATAATCTAACAAGAAACAGCTTACGAATCATTAAAGTAAGTTTTATGTCGAGTTCTCCTACTTCGACAATTCATTTAACAAAACTACCGCTTTCCTCTCCTGCAAATAATGATAGATCCAGTAATCTTATTACAATTCATCTGAAAAGAGCTTACCAATTCTGAAAAAAATGTATTAAAACTTTTACTTCGACAATTTCTCCGGCAAGATGAAAGGTTACCAACCTGAAAATAAATATTAAAGTGAGTAATAATTTACTATTACGATTCGTCGACAAAGACAACCAGTGCTGAACGAAAATAGTTTAGTAAGTAATTTTTCATTACAACTCATCTAACAAGACAGCTTAACAAACCTCAAAGAAAATGTTATATAAACTGTCGTAATAAGAATACATATAACGAGAGAGTTTACCAATCCTGCAAATAAAAGTTATATTTAGTAATAGTTTACTTCGGCAACAATATAAAAAATAGCTTTCAATTTTTAAAATTAATATTAGATCGAGTAATATCTAAGTACACGTCATCGAACACCACGACAGCTTTCCAATCCTGAAAAATGTTACATTCAGTAATCTGCGACTTTGACACTTCATCTAACGAGATTTAGATTATCAATTTTGAAAATAAACGAGAACTCTTCTTTTATCACGATACTTTAACAAGACAGCTTACCAATCCTGAAAATTAATATATTAGGCAATTGTTTGCTACGACCTTTCATTTAACAAAAACAGCTTCCGAATCCTGTAAAAAATGTTATATGAAGTTATCTTTTATCACAACATTTCATCTAACAAGACAGCTAATCAATTCTGAAAATTAATGTCATATTAAGATATCTTTTACTAAGACTATGTTTGGAACAAGTCTGCTCACTAATCCTGAAAATAAATTTTATATTATGTAAATACGACATTCCATCCAACAAGACAGCTCACCAGTTCTGAAAAAGTTATATTGAGAAAACTACGAAAATACATTTAACAAGACAGCTCGATCAATCCAGAAAATAAGTGCATTGAGTAAATGTTTTCCATCACAATTCAACGCAGAATATGTAGCATACGACTCTAGAAAATAAATGTATATTCAGTAATATTCTACCCATACAATTTACCGCACAAGAAAAAACAGCAGGGTATCCTGAAACAAAAATCTAGTAATCCTTCAACGTTAATTCACGAAAGAGCTTTCGAACTTTGAAAACATTTTATAACGATTTATATCGAACGTCAGCTGTTCATTACCTTACATTTCGGTAATTTACTAATTGATTATAAAGTTTTCCGGACTGATAGAATACGATCTTCTTACTAGTCTTTCTTCCTGACCACATCTGCGCAAACGTCAACGGCGGCAAGATAATTGTCTAAATGCCTTTCCTGTACGCTAAATGCTGACTGCCGATTCTACAGGCTTGTGATGTCCGCCAGGTGAACCGCGCCAACATCTGCCATCGGTCCGCTCTTGCTCTGTCACGTAACGCTGGCATTTGTACCGTGTGATTCAGGCGGGTCTTGAAGTCTCTGAAGGTGAAGGTCACAGCCAAAAATTTCGAAAGGTCTAGTGTTGGTTTTGGTGGGTGCAGGTTGCAAAACGAGGTGCATTTTTATCCCTTCCTGTTGAAATTGTTAAATTGTTTTTATATTTCGATGAATTTTCGTTGTAGGCAGACGTGGTGTGTCGAAATAGTTGAATACAACTTATTGCAGCGGATTTATTCCTTCACTGATAGAGAATGCTGAACAATCTCAGGTTTTTCTGGACCTACGTGTCTTTGCACACGATACATCACATGATAGTTATTGAAAAATACCACACACCTTTGGTATCGTTTAGAACAATAAAGCTGAAAGAAATGTGGAATTAAGATCAGAATAAATTATAATAAAACGTTATATTTGGACAATTTAAACTATACCCACTTAAAGTAAGATAGCAAGTAGTTTCCATATGTCCACAATTTAAACTATACCCACTTAAAGTAAGATAGCAAGTAGTTTCCATATGTTATACTTTGTTAATTTAATTATTTCACGTGAAGTACGAGCTGATGAAATTTATCTGATTACAACAGGGTTTAGGAAGATAGAACTAATAATAATTTATGACTTGTGAAATGTGGGCCGATCAAAATGAGCTTCTTATAATACAATTTAAGACACACTCAATGGTAGAGTTAATGGGAAATAAAAGTTAATTAATTAAGAAGTACACTTATAAGTATCAGTACAAAA